TGATTCAAGAAGGCCTGTCTTGCTTTTCCGATTCTGACTTTGACATCCTCGTGTATGCCTGTGTTGCCTGTAGTTGAAACAGTGCTGACTAGATAGGTGAATGAGGTTACTTCCTTTAGGTTTCTCCCGTTGATGGTGATTGGAGTTTGTTGTTGTTGTTGGTGCGGTATCTTCATCACCTCTGTCTTCTCTATATTCACTTGAAGTTCTGTCTTAGCTGTCCTGCTCTACCTCTTCTGTCAACTTGTTAGTTTTCGCCTGTAGATCTTCAAGTTTGTATGACATCAGACACAAGTGATCGGCGAAATCCAAGTCTTCTAGGTTCTTTTCCGCGGTCCAGCTGGCGTATCCCCTGTTCTCGCTCGCCACTGTTTGCTGCATGATCCAGTCCACCACAATCAGGAATATCATGGGTGATAGTAGACAACCTTGTTTCACTCCTGTCTTCACTTCACTGCAAAAGCATCACTGAGCTGAGCTTCCCATTGTGAATTACTTGTCATGTGGCCTCTTCATATAGTTGTTGAATGAGGCTGATAACGGTTTGCGGTATTCTGTAGTATTGAAGCAGTTTCCAAATTACCTCTCGGTCGACGCTGTCAAAGGCCTTCTCAAAGTCGATAAAGTTGAGGTAGAGTGAGAGTTGACTGCCATTCTATACTCTGTTCTCTGATGATGCGAAGCGTTGCAATTTGGTCCGTGCATGATTTGTACTTCCTGAAGCCTGCCTGTTCCGGTCGTAATTTTGAATCCAGTGCATCCTTTAACCTCTCCAGGATGATATGGCTTAATATTTTACTCGGGGTGGACAGGAGAGTGATTCCGTGCCAGTTCTTGCAAACACTAAGGTCTCCCTTCTTCGGGAGTTTGACAAGGTAACCCTTCTTCCAATCAATGGCCAGGTACCTTCCATTCCTTCCACACCTTCTGCAATAGTGGTTTAGTGTGAGCATGTCCTATACTGTTGTCTCTGCGTCTGTTCTCAGTGCTTCTGGCGGGATCCCATCTGGTCCTGCTGCTTTCCCGCATTTCAGTAGCTTTATGGCGTTCAGGACTTCCACTTATGTTGGGGGATTTTTGTTCACATATATATATATATATATATATATATATATATATATATATATATATATTAGTCGGTTGATGAAACTGAGCTAAGAATGGACGAAAGTCCAATTAACTTTAGATTATCTTTATAGTGCTGTGTAACTGGTATAAGAAGTCTATAAGGATTAAAGATTTTCAAAAATTTGATTACAACACACTCAATAGTGAACCCGTTCATGGTCGATATGTGTACATATAAATAGTGTGAAGTATTTCCAGCGATCTTGTTATTTACTGTGGACGTACCAAATGTTATTGCATAACAATATATGAGAACGGTGTTGCCGTGCTGTCAGTTGACAGGAAATATAAACAGCTTGATTCATTTACATAAGAGATGAATTCTGGGTGCTGATTGAAGATGAAGTGAAAATTTCGGTCCTCAGCAGGATTCGAACCAACGACCAATGGGTGTCTCGGTCGATGAACTACCAGCCAAGCTACGAGACTCGACTGCTGACTAAATCTTTATTTCATTTCAATCACCAAGGGTTTTTTCTCGACTACAGTGTGAATTTATGATACATTACTATCGTTTGATCGTACTGGCTGCATAGTCACTTCTCATCCCTATTCAGACTTAGCTGAATTCAAGTCTGTCAAACCCCGGCTATCTCAGCTAGTCAAACTGATAACAATAAATGAACAGGAATCAGCCATAGTTAAACCTATTTCTCATTAGCTAGACTCGTCATAAACTCATGAAAAAAACCCCGCTGCATACTTCTTAAAATCTAATAAACTCCAGTAAGTCACTATGTAAATCATGTAAAAAAGTGAAACTCATGAAAGTAAACAATAAGAAGCTAACATGTCCATCCACAAAATTTCTTTCAAGGCGTTTGAAATGAAACTTCTCTCATTTAAATGAATGTAAAACAAGCCATATCGCAAAACATCGTTGAATTTGACGGGAAATTCAACTAAAATTCGAATTTTCTTTGTATATGACTAGTAAAACCACTCGATAATGATAATCTGTATCCTAATGAAAGTTCATTGATTAAAGCATGTGTGTGGTACGAGACATTACCTACCATACGTAGAAATGATAATTAGAAATTTAGTGAATCTTCATGGCGTGTCTAAATTTATTAGATTTCACCTCACCTAAACAAAAGTTGTCCAGATAATCTTCTATAGGTTTAAAGAATTTTCACCAGACAGTATTAGTAAAAATATCTCGAAAACGTTAATCAAAAAATCTCCCAGTCACAATCTGGAATTAGTGTGACACGATAGAAAAGGCGAAATGATGCTGTTGTGTTGAGGAAGTCACGATGAAGTATGAATTAATAGATGGGGTCAAAAGCTCACAAGCAAATAGTACATATGCATAATTTACAAGAGTGAGAACATTGGCATCCCAGGAGACATTCATCCTGATGAGGGAGAGAGAGAGAGAGAGAGTAAAAATACGAGTCTTGCTTGGAGAGCTTACCATGTTTAATTTGCATCTATTTTGTCGTTAGTATTCTGGATCTGCCGAGCATAACTGATAAACGTCAAATGTTGAGTGCCTGAAAATTGTATTGATTTGTATGGCTTCATACTTAGTGGGTTTGGTGTTCTGAAGTGAATTGATTTTCGTTTTGAAACTTTTTTGTTCCAAATGAAATAGTGAAAGGAGTGTGTATTTTGAGATAGTGTTTCTCATGAAGTGAGATTAGATATGGAGAGAAGCATTGAAACCTATTATGTGGTGGGAGTTTTGCAACAGTTGGCAGTGTGCACCCGTGTACCTGCTGATAAACTCGTGTATGATGAAGTGATAGTGTGAGGAATGGCAATCTTGTGAGGACGGTAGTAGGTGAGGAAGGCAAGTGATTGTATGAGATTGTGAACGTTGAGTGATTGAAGGATATTTGGTGTGTTGTGGATACTGAGACGATGGTAACTTTGCTGGTTGATGCTAGTCGGAGTGGGGTTGGTATGGAAGAAGACTGTGGGTGTTCAGACCAAGATGTGGCTGACTGCAGTCCATGAAGTCTTTGACTGTGTGATGTGGGTGGTGTAGGTATAAGTAAACTGGCCAGTTGGTGTAATCGGTTAGAATGCTTGATTGGTGACTCTTGGTGGCATGACTGAGAATTGGTGACAATGGTGCAGATGTATTCACTGTTTGATGTCCTCGAACGTTTCGATATTCTCATCACTAACCTTCACGCTTTCTAATCTCCTCACCCCCTTACACCTTGGGTTATTTGAGTATCCTTCCATTTCTGTCAGCCGTTGATTTGGATGGTACTAAGAAGTGTGGCAAATTGGAACGATGCACTTGTGTGCGAGGTTCAAAGTTAACTTACCTGTCTGCCTGCTCGTGTGCTCGTGACCGATCCGAATGACATTAGTTTTCGTCGACAAATCTCTTGTAGTCAATAGATTGTATTAATTAGTAATTTAGTACTTTGTCTCGAGGAGAGTTTGCTGGGTAGTTGACGGAATCCCGTAACTTGTGAAATCGTTTGAGTTGAGAGTAATATCGTGCATACAGATGAATTAGAAAGGCAGTTGGTGTAGATGTCACCTGAATCGACTGGTGTTGGAAAGTGTATATGAAGCTGGATTAAGAAACAGGATATGAAAGTTGATATGCTTATTATAAGGTGTAAATTTCGTGGTTGCTATCATCCATTAGCTTATTGCTGTTTAGTTCTGGTGTATGAGAAATCAGTTGTCGAGTGATATGTGGTTTTATCAGTGGTTCGGTAACTGATGTCTCGTCACTGTGAAAACGATTTTCAATCAATTAATATTAACATGTTGCAGAAGTGTATGATTTGATATACTTGGTTACTTTTATACAGTTCCAAGCATCTCTAATGTTTTTGAAATTTTGACTGGTATTCTAACAGGAGATAGTTTGCTTCGTATTAAACGCTATGAATCCTCCAACTGATTAGTTTATGTCTGTGTAGCACTGGGACGTGCTACCGATTATTCGACCACTCAGTGGTTATTCACAGACTGCTAAGTCCACACACCTTCCATCATCATCACCATCATCATCATTGTCATCTGAGACAAAGCAGTTAGACGGAGGACAAGAAGAGAAATTTGTTATGAGCGAAATATACAGATAGAAATTGATGAGTAGAAAACAGTGTAGAAAGTGGATAGCGAATTGTGATCGGGATTTTAGACTGCACCTGATGACGACTGTTTCACAACAGATGGTTTTGAGCCATGGAAGTCATACTGTCGAACCGGAGTTTAAGTTGTCGGGTGGACCCTCACCTGAACGCTTAGATTCTCCCTGATGACTGAGGGAGAAATAGTTCAGTATCGACATGCTTATTTCTTTTTTAAGTAGTCGTAAAGTGGCTTACAAAGCATGTTGAGGTAGATAATGGTTGATCAAAGCGTACTGCTGCATAACACATGTGACTGATTACAAGGCATTTGGATGCCTCGTCGGTGTCATAGCTGGTGTGAGTTGGCATAAGCCAATCGATCCGTTTGTCTCATTGTAGAGATATTGTCACTCATCGACCTTACCGATCAGGGTATATGTAACTCTCCAAGTATGTGAAGTGGTTAACGTGTTCAACAAGCATGTGGACGTAACAGGACATTGTTATCGATCCACTCATCATATTCTAACTACTGTCACATTGTTACCACCAGCTATGATTACAACAGTGATGCATGTCTGCAAGATTTCCACATGACATTGTTTTGTACTGATTGCTTTTCCTATTGACTAATAATTACAGCGTACTAGGAAATGGACTGAGCACTGGCATCATCCCCCTATCAATCTGACTTTTGTGAACGAAAACTTTCTGTGATAGCAATCTCGAGTCTATAGATGTCACACTCTATTCTGCTTTAATTTCTCCTCACTTCAACAAACCACCTTATTGTTTATTTTACTTTCATTTCTTGTACAGTTGGCACATCGAACAAAGGATATTGTGGAATTGGAAGCAATATCAGCTATGCTACAATCATTTTTGAATTCAGAACAAAGAGAATTGATCATTCTGATTATTCGAGAGTTGGTAGTGGATGTATCATGAAGTATGGCTGATTTCAACAATGTCATCACTCTATGAATTACTTTCTTCCCAAACAAGAGTGTATTCACAGGAACTTGTTATGTGATGATTTTATTTTGGAAATGGTGATTCGATAAGGAAATGGCTTGCAATTTCCGTATCATAATTTATATTTGAAAAACTTATCTGTTCTGCTCTTCTACTCGTATTTACGTGACTATTGTGACTGTCTTCTTTGGGTAAGTTGGTGTTGGTTCGAGGAGTAGTGTTAGTAAATGTATGTTGTGTCAGGTACATTTTGTGTGCAAGTGTTATAGGTGAGGGAGTGGCGGTGGAACTGTGTGGATATATTTGTAGACTGTCTGTGGAAACAGTCAATCCTCATAGTCGATGTTTTGGTTGGTGACATATTTATTTGCGACGAATGAGAACTGATTGATTTAGCATTTGAATTGAATATTGTATTGAGCAGCCTGGTTGAAAATTCAAGGATGAGTGTTCGTATTGAAAGTTGCTGGAGTAGTGACGATGACAAGAAATAGTCTAGTGTGTTTGTGTTTGTTGACTTATGGCTTGAGCGAGCTTGTAAAGTCGAATATTTCTCAGGTGTGTCGTTTGGAAAGGTTCAGCAAAGGAGAGATTTGGAGAGGTGAAATGTGGTTTATGATATATCATGACAGTACTGATTACTGGCATGTGATGGAAGCATCGAGTAAGTATTGTTGAGGTGATGAGCAGGTGTTGAGCATGCAAAGCAAGTTAGCTGATGATGATGATGGTGATGTGAACTAGGAGTGACTTCGATTTGAGAGACATGTTACACGAGTATATTCAGCATCGATTGCAATAGGATCGGTGTGGATGAGAACTGATGTTGGTCAGCTCAAGATGTGATACAGTGAAACGATGTGACTCACTGGTTATTTGAAGTGATCTAGGTAAGGCTTAGGGGTTGAGGGCACTTGGTGACACGAATCGAACATGTTGATCACTTGTCTTTCTCAATATCCTGTTGCTCTATAATTGTTGCTTTACTCTACTCATTCCATTTCCTGTTGTATTATCCCTAAATATCTGTTGCTGTTGTGTTGTGAAGTGTGTCAGATGGAAGATATTTTCCACCCTTTCTTTCATGTATGCTCAACATAATTGTCTCAGTTGTACAAATCTTAATTTGGAAATAGGTAATGTGATAAGATAAGATAGAAAGAATAAATGTTGAAGGTATTGAGTTTGATGTTGTCTGACATGCTTTTAATGTTTAAGGGAATGGATAGACAACTAGTAAGAGTATAAGTTGATGTAATACAATCTGACTGATAACAATGTGCATTTACACATTTGCTTGCATGTGAATGGAAGAATAAGAAGAATGATTTATTTGAAGTAGACGAGATGCTTATCGCTGACTGATTCATTGTGATGAATTAGGTGTTGATGGAATGGGAAATGAGAGGGGGAAGTAGTCGAGATTGAAGAAGTTAGTGATAACAGTGTTAACTTCTAGAACAATATACATGAAGAGGTAAATATTTTAGATGAGATAGTAGAAACGAAGAGATAGAAAGAAGGTATTGTTCTCTTGTGTTGTTGTTGTTGCCTTGTAAACAAGATGCAAATCAGGTGAAGATGACAATATGAGTTGAAGTTGGTTGATGAGTTTGATGTTGAGATTATGTGTCAGATGCGTCTATCCACTGTTCATCTCAGCTCAGAGTGTTCACTTGATGAGTAGTTGGATTTTGGGATGAGGATGTGGTCAGAATTGATGAGTTGTGTGACTCACTTTGTGAATGATGTAGGGAAGTGAAGGGATTTCGGTTTTTGAATAGGAGAGACCTGAAATGGTTGACTTGAGATTCGGAGAAATGGCGACAAGTCAGTGTAATTGGTGTATAATATCTTTTACTAGTGTGTACTAGGTCTGGGATGGACGCGAGGATATGGTCTGCACAGAATGAAGACTTAATGTATCACTTTGCAACTGAATCCAAGATGATTTCTTGTTGGTAGTATTTAGCATTTCTGGTTGTCACACTGGATTGAGTTGATCAGTGTCTGATGTATGAGAGTTCATTGTGCGGATGCCTGAAATTCTCATGGATTCCGATGTTGGTTATACATTATGTCGAGTGGTTAGTAGGAAGAAACAAATATCGTCGATCCCACTTTTAATCATTACCGAATATTTACCGAGATTTCAGGCACCAAGAACTTTACTGAACGCAGAGAGAGAGAGAGATGTGATAGAAAGAACGCTGGTGTTTCATGGGAGCCCTTACTATCTTGCCAACGAGAAACATAAGTTAGGTCAGGTTTGTGTAGGTGCATGGCAGTCGATTTGTCATAATTTTTGAACGCTGAAGGTTATGGGCAATGCCAACCAACAAAGAAGCAGTGTTGAAAATTGTTGACGCACCTATATACTAGTTGCAGTGTAAGAAAACCCGTGGAAATGGCAGACCCTGAATTAATCAAGTGTAAAATAGGTTGCTGATACAAACATGAGGGCTTCCGTACACCTCTCACCTTAGAAATGTTAATTCCTTCTGTGCTGCTGTGTCTATTTGGAAGCATACTTTCTTTTTTGATCTGATGATATTTGGAGAAGTCGGTCTTTTTACTAGAGGGATGACTTTCCAATTTTGATCATTACTCATGATCAAATGTGCTACTTGAATATTGTCAAGGAGGATTTTAACAGAAATTGCTTTCGGTACGGTACGGTACTTTTATCGATGATGTTCTTAAATGTATTTGTTTTCAATGTCATATTCATTAGGCTGGTTAGATTAGTATATCATACATTGCATTGCTACGTTTTCAAATGATAACACTGGTGATCTGTCTTATCCTGGTTAATGATCCATAGTGGAGGTTGGTGTTCCTGATTCCACTGACCTTTCGGTCTTTCACACCGGTTCTCTTAGAGGTATCTTCAGGATTCAGATGAAATGCTATGAGCTTGTGCTTCATTAGTGCTTCAATGACAGTCTGCCGATCTGACAGTGTTTCATTTACTGTTGCTCTGTATACAAACGGCGTCAGATGTACAATATTTATCAACATCCTCTTCGTTCTGGTCTTGAGTGAAACCTTCCTAAATCCGTGCGGAAGATGTTCCACTGAGTCATTAGATTGTGGATAATGAACTGAAAAGAAAGTATGATCAATCGCCCTGTGATTGTAGTAGTGTAGTAAGCGTTGCTTATAAGAATGGATATAAGTAGTATATGTTGGCAGGGTGGCAGAAATCATAAGGAACTACCAGCAATGAGTAAGGATTCTGCCAAGAGAAACGCAAGTGCCAAAGCAGGCGTATGAAAAGCAAATCAAGGAAGAAGCAGAAGAGGGAATGGAGTACATTTCTCAAATGACAGTTTTAACGACTACTGTCCCACTTATTGGCAACGGACATTTCTACCTTCATGCCTGTCTTCTTGCTTCCTTCAGCATTACTTAAGTTAACTTGATATTGACTTGAGAAGATTATCAAGCACACCGTTTACCAGTAATCTGTTGCTGGACAAACTGATGATTAGAACGCCTGGCGCTTATGCAGATGGATTATGTCGATTTTTAGGTGACTTAAGGAATGCGTATACCTTAATGAAGTAAGATTATTCATTGATTCGAACTGTTTTCGATATGCTTATATGACGGTTGGTGGTATGTTATTGGCAACAGTTGTGGAAGGTGTAAGAGATACTGCCTAGTTCTCATAATATCTCATCTTTATAGTTTTCTCGATAGGCATTCATTTCATCCTATTTGAGACTTGTCAACTGAATGTATTCGCATCCCAGTAAATGGCGTCGTCCTAATTGAGGCTTGAACCCTTCCGTAACTTATCTCTTTGCGCTCCAACACTAACCCACTGATGATAGAGAGCTACCTCAGGTACGATATAATAATGAATTTTCAGCAATATTGTAGCACTCATATCTGAGGCCGTATGCCAAAAGAGTTCAATCGATTCGATCAAGTATAGCGACAGGAAATTACAAGTAGCAGTAAACGGTAACTCTTCCGTATCTAGTTCATGCCTATCTGATGATGTCGATGGCTTTTCATTGCAGATTTTGTTTATTACCTGTATGTTAATGTATCCTTTGATAAATGATTCTGAAAATATCAAGATCTATTTTATTTGAATCTGAAGCTATAAAGGTTGCTTCTGCCTTCTGAAAGTCTGGTGATGAGTGACTAAACAAGTCCTGTAACTAGGACATCTCACAGAATGAATTTCATGGGATATTCAGAAATTTAGCCATCTCTTTGGACATTTTTGTTAATTATTGAGTACAAAACATCTTCAGATGACCAATTTATAATTCTTATCTTTATTATTGCTTTAAAGTCTTCAGAATTCTCTAATTATGGTACCCACCTACTTAACTGTTTACAAATGAGACCAAAAAATTCTTATAAAAGGTATCATACAAAAGTAATAATAATAATCGGCGAACTCACACTGAGATACTAGTCTAACACAATCCGGTGATCGAGATGAAGTTAAGAATTTATGATCCTAAGCTTACAGTTCCAATAACTGGTTCATGATATTTCGAAAAACAGCATAAACCATCGTGATCTGTGTGACATTGTGAAGCACCATGGTATTCGAGATTTTATCCACTTAAACTAGATAACAATCACTGATGTTATATTCTACACCATAAGGATGATTATTGCTGCTGTCGAACTTCGTCGTAGTACTCCTTCAGAAAACAAAGAAATACACTTTGAAGCTGTTCTTGGAACCAATAAGTATTGCTATTACCTGTCTTGAATGACTACAAAATGAATCAATGACAAAAATCAGTTATAGGTAGAAAAATATGTGGTATCAACTTGATTGCCCAGCTGTCTATGAAATGATATACATATATGTTTCGTCACAAATTTATTCTGAATAAGCAATTCAACTCTCCCAACTCATTCATAAAGACTACACTTGACTGGCTATACTATTTCTGTAACAGCCAGTTAAGTCTAATAGGTTTGTACTAGTTTGAAACCTCCCTCTAGTTCCTACTGAAGCTCATTTTAAATCACATCTAATAAATCCCCAGATGACGAGCAACCCTTTTCTGCCTGGTCTAGATTACTGGGAAGCCGTACTTCATCAGTTGACTTATTAATCAACCACATGGTTATTAAGAGTTCTTCCCACTATTTTATTTTGTCATCGTCTTTTATAGTGAGAATTGACCTAACGACATTATAGCAACAGATAGATGCTAAAATAACCAGTATCTTCACCATAGTCACTTACTTTGACGGCAACATAATAGTTGCACAGTTGCTTGAAGAATTGTAACAACAAACTAGTTCTGTGACGAATAACACACTATGTTACTCACTTGCGATCAAAAAATTGTTAGTTTTTGAAGAAGATGAAATATCATTATTTCACTTTCAGGGCTTCGAGTTACTGACTGACCAAATCTACCGGTACCTCAAATAAACGAAACGACGTTACTGCTTTTCTTTCTGAGACTAATTACTCATCACTATACGTTTCTAGCCTTGATATAAATCAACCTGTTTGTGTGAAATTTTTAGTGGAAGGTGAAAACAGAATGAATCATGATTTTTCGAAAATTGAAATCATTGTTAAAATCAAACATATTGCCTGCCGACAACAACTGAAAACTACTAATCATCATGGATGCTGGTGTTTTTCAGTGCACAGTTGGTGCTGGAGTTCTGCACATTCTTCCAGATAACAAACAGAAAGTGATTATAGTTAATTTATATGCACATTATAACCGAATGAAAGCAAAGGTACACAGAAAAATAAGCACTTTGCTCGGTTTCTACAGTATGTCGATTTTGTACGCTGACTACTAGCAGATGTATCTCACTCCGGACAGACTCTTAACTCGGTTATCAATGTTCTAGGCGAAATTTGGAGTCCCTAAGTTTAAAGAAAACGATTGCTTATTACGTGGCTTAACTGTGCTGATATTTAAAATCAGTCAATTAGATAAACTGTCTCTCCTGTCCACTGAATACCCAACATTAGATGAGGTATTATTCCAAGAGTTCTAGTAGGTGAAGGTATGGTTTCGTACCATTCAACGGGGGTTCGAATATTCTCTGTTATTCATAGAATCACAAGTGAATATGAACGTTTGATATCCGTTACTGGATTCCCTCAAAAGAAGTGGCTAGGGAAATTACGAAATTGTAATCTTCAGCTGTTTTACAACAGAAGGCATTCCTGTACATCGTCACTGACTGTTTTTGTTTGGAAATTACATTGTCATTCCATATTTACTTAGCTTCTGGTTTTTCAGTTCTATATCAGTCACCAAGAAGTTTAATCAAAGAAATCTATTGATCAATTTCGACAGAATATGCACTCGAACACGACGCAGATATTTCACCGGAGCTACCGTCATTCGTTTAACAAACTCTAGGTCAGATATACTGAAACACACATTATGATTACGCTGTTCATTGTTTAATGATTAGTCTCACCTTGATCAGGTGGATGGGCTCTCTAGGTGATTCAAAGTCATCACAGTTAACCAGTTAACAACTGCACAACCACTAAGAGTTCCTTCCGCTATCTTATCTAGCAATAGTTTACCGAAATCTATCTTCAGCGGTAACGATATCAAGTTGACATCATTTGAGTTTGAGTACAACCGTAGTGAGAGCTACTGATGAGAATGCATGTAAGCAGCACATAAAGCCATGTCGAAAGTGATTATAATCGGCTATGGAAGATTCGGTTAGGAAGAATATACAATAGCGGACAGAAATATAAAGGGCAAAAAAATTGTGGAATGAGATGTAGAACAAGGGGTTGTTTGAAAATGGATGCCAGATTTCCAGCATTAGTACTTTGA